TGACTGACCACCGTGAACTAGCCCTTGGCTCATCTGGGGTTTATTTTGGTCTCCTTTGGTCCTTCTGAATATTATTTTAGTTTTAAGTGTGCACGTTTTCCATTTATCGGTTTCATTCACAGACATTTGATACTGTTGGTATTTTTGTAAATGATTTTAGGTTTTCAGTTTCTAAATCTAAACATTCATTTCCAGCATGAAGGCATAACAGCTATTATTATTTTTGAATTTTCATGTTCTGTTCTGCAACCTGGCTAAATTTGGTGTATGAATTCAATATATGTAGATCCTACAGGGTTTTGTTGTTGTTTGTTTGTTTCTGGACAGGGTCCTACATTCCCTGGCTGTTGGGAAACTCACCACCAGTCAAGTTGGCCCTGAACACTCAGTTCCTCCTGCCTCCCTGTCCTTGGCGCTGGGATCACAGTGTGAGCCACCACTTCTTTTAAAATGTTAAACAGTGATTTCATCGCTTGAGCACAGAGAAGAGTTTGTACAACTGGGGCAATGCTGTTGGTGATTCATTTTCCCCAGGATGGGAGAGAACCCAAGTGATACTGGGTGGATGGATGGGTTCATCTCTTTATCATTCAGAACTCAGTGTCCGCATCCTGATGGTAGGAGTTCTTCCAACTCAGGGAGCATTTCTGAGACTCGGCTCTGGTTGCTTTTGAACTTGTGATCTCCCTGTCTTTGCCTCCCAAGTGTTGGTCTACAGACAGACATCACTTGTCATACCTGACTGGACCCAAGATTCTTTAACTTTACCACAATGCACAGGGAGCTATGCTTGGTGAGTCCTTCAAGGTCATACTGATTGGTGACCAGTTTAGAAACCTGTTCCTTCCTGTCATCCAATGTCAGTTTCAGCCACGTGACGGCACTTTTGTGACAGGGCAGGACTGTGAGCACAGGGCTGGCAGCAGCGATGGTTGGGCAGGAACCCTCATGAGGACTATCGTGCTGTATTCTTTTGTTTTTGTTATTTGCTTACTCTCTGAGGCAGTGTCTCTCTATGTAGCCCAGGCTGGCCTCAAACTCACAGGAGAGCTTCCTGCTTCTGCCTCCTGAGTGCTGGGATCAGGCACATGTGTTATCAGGTCCAGGGACAGATACATCCCTTCGTGATTTTAATGTTTTTTTTTTTTGTGCCTCCCCGTACCCTCTCTCTTTACCTTACTGTACTAAATGCCCCCCACCGCTGCCCCTTCCAGCCCTAGTGCAGTGCAGAACAGACCCAGTGGGTGGACATTCTTGCCCCTTCCAGGCAGGGGCATTCGGCTTTTTGGCATTAGACATGACTTTGGCTTTGGTTTATAGTTCAAGTTGAACTTAGAACTCAATTTTCTGACTTTTAAATATTTTATTGCCAAGAATGAATGCTGATTTTTTTCACATGGTGTCTCTTGGTTGGTTTAATTGCATTTGTGATATATTACAGTTTTTAAAATAAAAATTTGTTAATGTGGTATAATACATGTGGATTGTATTATTAATGTAAAAACAAACACAAAGCCAACTTGGCTACTGTTTACTCTTTTGTTTGTCTATTATTACAGGCTTTGTCTGTGTGTAGGTCATTGGTCTGTACTCTTCCTCTGAGGTGTTGTTATCAGTTTGGGTATCAGGATGGACGTGACTCCAGAGGGTAAATTCAGCATCTTCTCACATAATGTCATTTTGGGACTCCCGTGAGAACCTGTTCTAGCCGGAATGGTGCTCCCTCGGAGCTCACATGGGGAAACCTCTGCAGCACTTCAACCCAGTGCCTCAGAATGTGTCTACGTTTGCAGAGTGCCTTCAAAGAGGTGGCCAAATCAGTGAGAGTGGACCCTAGCCCACTTGATTGTCCACAAAAAGAAAGTCCCGAAGTCACCCCCACAGTGTCTCTTCGCATCCATCTTTGGGAACAGCTTAGGTTTGTATCTGGGTTTGCGCTCCCACAAGTGGAATTTCTGGGTGGACCAGTTTATTATTCATTATTGAGCACTTGGAGCTTGGGAGAGTAAGGTGGGGGTGGAGAAGCCCGCCCCTCCCCAGGAGCATCGGGCCTGTCCGGGGCCTGTCTGAAGACCTGCCTGACTTGCACTTCCACTAGAATTTTAGGGGATGAAGTGGTTCCCTGGGGTCCCAGGTCTTGGCTTCAGCCTAAACACAGGCACTCCCAAGCTCCTGCAGGCTGCATCTCTCTCTCTCTCTCTCTCTCTCTCTCTCTCTCTCTCTCTCTCTCTCTGTCTGTCTCTGTCTCTGTCTCTCTGTCTGTCTCTGTCTCTCCTCAGTTCAATGACCTTCCTGAGAGGTGGATGCAAATGTGGGGGTAGAATTAAAATCCAGCTCCCTGCAGACATGGAAAAGCAACACCGTCCTTGCCAGGGTAGGTCTGAGATGGAAGAGCAAACCTTGGGGTCCCTTGAGAAAATGAGGGTTCATGTTCTCCAGGATTCCCAGTCTGTGTTGAGATCCACAAGCCAAAACATACAGGTACCCACAAAGGAAAGAACATGCAAGTACAAATTAGAGCCTTCCTGTGTGTTGACTTGTGACTGGAGTCTGTGAGGGACTTCCTGGGGACACAGACAGGAAACGGGGCAGAAGTGGGGGTGACTGAGGGATAATGAATGATAGCTGAGATGGGCCCATTGGCTTAGGACAGTCAGAAGAGGAAGTCTGAAAAGCCTGAGGGGGTAGAGAAGCTTGGGGAAAAGGGACGGAGGGGCCCTGGGCATCCCTTTCAGACCCTTGTCAACAGGATGAGAAACCCTGGCTGAGCAGAGATGAGCGGATATGGGAATAATCGGAAGCACCAGAGTTCAGCAGGATTCTTTTCCTGTCACCCCCAAGCCCCACACCCCATCCTGAGTCACCCCAGGCCATTGTCACAACCCAGTCTTTAAAATGGAGCCCTGTACATGCCTCATAGCACAATTGACACTGGCAGTTACAATCCTTATTCCCGGAAGGAGGCCTCGATACCCCCGACTCCACAGCTGAGGGGTCACAGCACCGGGAAGATAGCCCACTGGCCAAGGTCTCAGGCAGGAGATAGTAGGATTGGTGCCTGGTCAGTGTGCTCAGGCGGTCCCCAGCGCTCAGACTCTCCCTTCTTTCCTGGCCCCACACAGAAGACAGTAATGCCAGGGACCAGCTTCACACACTCTGCTTCCTAAACCCAGGCAACTGACGCCAACATCCAGACTCACCAGGCTTTCCACAACCCTGGTACCACTCAGGACGCCCGTGGTAGTTTTCAAAGATATTTAGGGGTGTGAGGTAGGATGGCTGTTGCTGGGGCCTGGGGTGCTGTTTGAAACCCTGGTGTGTGTTACATGGCTGCACCGTGTGTGGTCTCTACCTGCCTACAGAGACGGGTTAAAAGGAACTGGAGAGGCCTTGCTTCTGACACTGCAGGTGAACTGGGAGTTTTCTGCTTAATGCAGATGCAGGCATTTGAGCTCCCCACCCCCACCCGGGGGTCTTAGTCTGGGGGAGATGGCCACCAACGTGCTCAAGGATGACTGGAGCCCCTTCAGGTGTGAGGGGAATTCTGTCCATCTGGACAGTGGACAGGTATCTGTCCACACAAAGCCCCCTCACCAGCAAGAGCCTCCTTTACTGGGCCGGACTTGGGCTCCTTGAGACTTTCTTCTCAAGCTGGCTTTGATGTGAGGGCTTCCTTGTGCCTTGTGGGTCTCTGCACTCTGTCCATGTTTAGCTATAATCCTGCTATGCGGGTTCAGCTGGGATCTTTGTCGTCCTTCTCTGACATCTCCCATATCAGCCTCTACCATCCCCCGGAGTAAGGCCTGACCACCTGCTGTTTCGGAAAAAAATTGTCCAGTCAGTTTCCCTGGAGCCTCTGCCCCTCATGATGATTTTGTGTTCACTCGAAATTGTGTTTGCCTTGTTTCATGCCCTTCTGTTTCCTTTTAGAATATTCATTTTTATTTTTAAAATATTTTATTTTCTTTTGTTTTATGTATATTACGCCTGTGTGTGTGTGTGTTTTGTGTGTGTGTGTGTGTGTGTGTGTGTGCGCGCGCGCGCGCGCGTGCGCATACATGTGCGCTGCATGTACTCGGGAGCCTGCCAAGATCAGAAGAGGCATTGGATCCCCAGGAACTGGAATTAGAGTTGGTTGGGAGACCGAACCTGGGTCCTCTGCAAAAGGGTAATAAGTGCTTTTTAATTTCTGAGCCATCTCTCCAGCCTCAATTTATTTTTATTTTGTCTGTGAATCCTTTGCCTGCATGTCTGTGCCTGTACAACTTACATGCCTGGTGCTTGAAAAAGCAGAATAAGGCACCAGATCCTATGAAACTGGAGTTACAGGCAGCCATGAACTGTGAGCTAAGTGCTGGGAACTGAACCCAGGTTCTCTGCAAGAGCAGCATTACTCTTAACCATTGAGGCAACATCCAGCCTCTCTCTCTCTCCCTCCCCACACCTCTCATATATATATGTAGTTTCCTAGGGTAGAGTAAAACTTGCTATGTAGCTGAGGATAGACTTGAACTCTGGCTCCTCCTGCCTCCATCTCCCAAGAGCCAGGATTACAGGCGTGAGCCACCACAACTGGGTTTCTGCTGTGGTTGGATCCAGACCCTTGTGCACTCTGGCCACTCAACCCTCCCTGCCTTCTATTTGGAACTGAGTCCAGTCTCTCTTGCTCACTACAAGGTTCTGGTACAGTGGTCCCTATAGGAGGTCCCTTGAAGAAAGTGCCTCTTGCTTTTCTTCAAAAAGTGTTGTTGGGTAACATTTTCCTTAGCATCCTACAGCTGGGGATGGAGAGAGCTTCAGCCTTGCTTCAGGTACGGGGGGGGGGGTGAGGATGAGTCTTGGTGGCTGTACCCCACTCCCAAACCCAGGGATGGGCAGGCTGATGTGGGGTGGGGCTTTTACCAGCCTGGTGTGGGAAGGGCTGTGACAGTGGGCGGGAAGAGGTGGAGCCAGCCTTTTCTAGGACATCTGTCACCTGCCTCCTGCCCCGGGGGCCTTGCCCAGCACTACCCTGTTAGTGTGCTTGGCAGCGTGAAGCTGGGGCCTCCTCCTCAGAAACTCCCGGGCATATCAAGGACCTTTCAAGCCCTATGTCGCTGGCCTCCCCAAACCCAAGACATGGCAAATGGGGCACAGGCCAACCCCAAAGGGTTCAGGAGGAAGGTGCTGGCTAAACACCCCACTGGATGGAAGAGCCCAAGCCTCAGGGCCTCCTCTTCCAGAACCTCCAGGTAGGTGTCTGCTGCCCCGGAATGGAACATTCCACAGAGAAGGGCAGGGGGATGGGTAGGGGATCTATTCCTAGTGTCAGTTCTTCAGGAAGGAGAACTGAGTGTCTACATGTTGAGCAGAGGTGTGCCAACTGCATTCTGGTGCTAGAAGGACCTTTGGGACATTTAGACAACTTCATTCTGTTCTTGAAGGCCGGAGAGGCCAAGAGATCTGCCTGTGGCTCCCGCGGCATTTGCAGAGCTCAATCTAGAACCCAGTGACCTGGCTCTCTTGGTTTTAGGGTTTAAGATCCAGTTGCCAGGGGTCCTGTGACTCAGGTCCTAGCGCTCCTTGGAGAATGGACTCAGGAGAGCTGAGTCTAGCGTGGGACAATGGCTTCCTGTCTTGAAGCTGAGAGTTGGGAAGGGGGGCACTTGTTCTGTTGGTTCTGCCACCCTGGGGTGTGTTCTCCCCAGGAGATACAGGCCAGGTGGGGAGGTGTTCACCACAGGACTGGGGGATGGCAATTAGGGCAAGAGAAAGCATGGGTGGCATCTTGGATGAGACCCGGCTACGGGTAGCTGGGGAAAAGGGATTCAGGCTGAGCTTGTTCTCTCTCAGGTCCAGCCTGGGTATGAAGAAATTCTTTGCCATTGCAGTCCTGGCCGGCAGTGGTGAGCATGGCTCTGAGGAGACCTTTGTGGCCTCCCTCCCACTCCCCCCTTTCCCTAGAAATGTGGGCTCCTGTGTCTTTCTACTGACAGGCTCCTTCCTCTCTCTGGCTCCATTTCCTTGTGGAGGCTTCAACCTCTCCTCTGGGGCTGTTTAGTTCTGGACACCTGTAAACAAGCCAGAGGCCTCTTTTATGAGCTACTCGGAGCAGGTGCAGAGAGCTGAGCAAGCCTCGTAAACCGGTAGTGCTTGCCATCATTGTGGACCTGAGCATGTGTATTAGTGACTTTCCGTACTGGCAGGAGTTAATGAGTTTGTATGCAGCTGGATGCGTGTCTGTGCACGAGTGTAGGTGTGTCTGAGTACACACGATGTGAAATATGGCTCACGGCTGGCACCTGGGTATATATCTGTATTCATTCTAGTGTGTGTGTGTGTGTGTGTGTGTGTGTAATTATAGGGGCATATCTCTGCAGAGAGAGAGAGAGAGAGAGAGAGAGAGAGAGAGAGAGAGAGAGAGAGAGAGAGAGAGAGAGAGAGAGAGAGAGAGAGAGAATGTGTATGTTTGTGTGCAAACTTCTCTCCTAGGGCTGATGCCCAGGCCTTCATGGATAAGAGCAGTTGACCCCAGCATGGCTAAATGAGGCTCCTGATACAAGCTTGGTCCTACCTTGTACCCCAAAAGACAGGATTCATTGTGGCCAGACATGACAAAGGGCTGATGCACGCAAACAAAATGGCCTGTCATTTCAAAACAATTGTCTCTCCTGAAACCACTGGTCTGAGGAGACTGATTAGCTATTTCTTCTGCCCATGGACATGGCCTTGGTTCTGGTTGCTGATTCTCCTGAGTGATACTTTTGTGAGGTAAAGCAAATGTGTGTGTGTGTGTGTGTGTGTGTGTGTGTGTGTGTGTGTGTTGGGGGGATATGAGATGAACAGTTGTAATAAGGATGTGTGGATAAGTGTGTTTCAGAATGAGATGTGGATGTTATGGGTATGTTTGTGTGTGAGCACAGGGTAAAGATCCACAGAGGACAGTGTGTGTGTGTGTGTGGAGTGTAATAGAGTGTGTGTCTATCATAAGCATAATCATGTTTGTTTCTTACTCTCACCCTGTGGGAGATGACCTTAGGGGGCTGGGAGCCTGGTGCTGCATATACCCTACCCCCAGGGTAAAATGCATGCATCTAGAGTAGGAGATGGGACTTCCCTGTCAGGGGAGGAGGCAATCACAATGGCAACTGGGTGCTCCCAAGGCCTTTTGGGCTCCACCCAGCCTCCAGCTTTCAAACCCTGGGCTCCCTGTCTCTCAGAGATGGAGGAGGTTGGAGGATGCGGGGAGGGGGTGCCTAATTCCAGATGCAGCTGCAGGCCAGAGTGGAGGTTGCATGCACACAGGTGCCACACTGTGCATGACTTAGCATCCAGCTAAGGAACAGACAAGACTCCCGCCCAAACTCTGCTACTTCCAGCCTGTGCTACCTGGGCAAGCCTTTCACATTCTGAGCCTTCATTTTCTTACCCTGTAAATAGGGATAAACCCTCCCTCCTGCTGGTGGGTGGGTGAGTGGCTTCACCCAGGTAGGGACTGCACCTCATGGCACTGACTCAGCACAGGTGGCTCAGAGAGCCCAACACTCTACAGGGAAGCCGTTGAGAGAAGAATGAAGGATGAATGGTTGAAGGGCCCAGCTGCTGGCAGGTAGCTGATTTTTGCTAGTAACAGAAATACCTTTGAGTTATTGCTTGCTGTGTGTGTGTGTGTGTGTGTGTGTGTGTGTGTGTGTGTGTGTGTGTGTGTGTGTACTGTATGACACACCGATTTCAGGATGCTGGCAGGGACCTTGGCTCTCCTTCCATTTCAGAGACTTCAGAGGTCACACTCCTGTAACTCATCACAGTATGTGGCTTTTGTGAAGCTCTCTCTAGTGAACTGGACACGCAGAATGACCTCTTTGGGGAGTGGTCTCCAATCTCAATAAGTTGCCCAGTCTATAGCCCAGGCGGCCCTTGCATGTTCAATCCTCCTGCCTCAGACAACTTCCTCAGTAGCTGGAATGTGTACCACTGAACATGGCTGAAATGCAATTGTGACTTTTAGTATTTTCACACTAGTATGAGTTCATCAGGATGCGGCTCCTTCAGAAGCCAAGCACCTGAGGCAGCAGGTGTGGCTGAGGTCCCTCCATCCCGCCTGGCTCTAGGTTCTTCACCATCATGTGACAGTGTGACCCTAGGCAAGTTACTCAGGGCACCAGCCTCAACTTGCTTATCTGTAAAAACGTGATAACAGCCAAAGCCAGGGGTTGCAGTGAATACCCAATGAGTTAGCAAACACAAGGGTTTAGCACACTGCCTGGCCTGCAGCTAAATGAACCACATTTGGTCGTCCAGGCTTTGGGCTCGATGCTGGGGATGGGAGACATCCCAGCCTACAGGATTTGTCTGTTTCCTCCCTCTCCTTCCTCCTCCCCTTGCCATCTCATCCCCCGGGTCTTGGCTCTGGGGGAGTCGCCGGGCTAGACTTACACTCCCAGCTCTCTTGCAGTTGTATCCACCGCCCACAGCAGCCTGCTGAACCTGAAGTTCATGGTGGAGGCCATCACACACAAAAATGCCATCCTGTCCTTTGTGGGCTACGGCTGCTACTGCGGGCTCGGGGGGCGAGGCAAGCCCATGGATGAAGTGGACTGGTAGGTTCTGGAGGCCTCCCGTGGGGAGAGATGAGGGCAGCCAACGGGCAGGCTGAGGAGGAAGGGCCAGGAACTCCATCTTTAGCTTCTTAGATGCACTCTGTTGTCCATATTACAATGGCATTTTATGCCCTCCAACAAACAGGCAAGGAGTTTGGGTCTCATGGCTGATGTTCCACAATGGCAAGGGATATTATAGACATTAGTCCATGCTTCCTCCCTCAGACTGAGAGACCCTGGAAGCCATGGCTTCCATGCTTACTTCCCCAGCAGCAGTCAGCACCAAATCCAGCACTACAAGGAGCTGGCAATTAGTTTCACTCTTTTAGAAGCGGAGGGGGTGACTACTCCTCATTTGTTTCCCATCCTTCATCCCCTCCAATGCCCGTTGAGCCACCCCAGATGCTGTCCCCTCCAGGGCCATCCAGCATAAGGAGGCAGGACCTCAGGCTGCTGGTTTTAAAGTCATAGCTTCCTGCCAACCCTCTCTCCCTCCCTGACCTGGTAGCTGGGCCACCTGGCTCCAAGGCAGGGAACGAGCTGAGAGCCCTGACATGAGGACAGGGAGGTAGGGTCAAGGACAAGGATACGGCGTGTCAGTGCCCGTTCGGGGTTACTGGGTAAGCTTGGGCATGTAACTACCCCCTCTTGGGGCTACAGTCAATGGCTGACCACGAGGGACTGAAACAGATGATCTGAGGCCTCCGTTGGTGGGGGTTGGGGTGGGGTGAGGGGTGGGTTGGCTGCCTGCACCTGTCTGAGCATCAGTGCTGCCCCCATGCCAGGTGCTGTCATGCCCATGACTGCTGCTACCAGAAGGTCTTTGACCAGGGTTGCCGCCCCTACGTGGACCACTACGACCACAGGATCGAGAACGACACCGTGATTGTCTGCAGTGAGTCCCTCCCTTGACGCCCTTGCTCAGAACGGGACCTTGGGGTGAGGGTGGGGACCCAAAACAAACTCAGGGTACCCACACTTAATTTTAATCTCAGGCAAACAATGAAAAACATTTTGGGGTTAAAGATAATCCAAATGAGACCACTGGCACTAAAAGTTAACTGTTGGCTTCAAATTAGCAGTAATATAAAATGAAGAATTAGAATAGCCACTAATTTGGCATGAATTTGAGTGAGAACTACCTTTTGTTACTTGGTTTTTACCAATCACTCCCTAGGAAAGTAGGGGCTTGCCTGGTTCTCCCACTGAAGGGAGGAGTCTTGGAAAGCAGGGGTGGGGATTCATTAGGGGTGGGTAAACCTGCCCTCTTTCCTTTCTTCCTCATTTTGTTGAGTTTTAATTATGCGTATGTGCGCCTGCTTGTTTATATGTGCCCCACGTGTTAGCATGTGCTGGTAGTGGCCAGAAGAGGGTGTCGGATTCCCTGGAACTAGAGTCACAGGCGCTGTGAGCCACCTGATGTCCTCAAGAACAGCCAGTGTTGTTAACTGCGGAGCCGTGTAATTGGAGGCTTTTCTGTCCAACCCCATCCTGCAGCCACTTTTAAACAATCACTCAGAGGCTTATATTAATTATAATGTTTGGCCGATAACTCAGGCTTATTACTAACTAGCTCTTACATTTAAATTGACCCGTTTCATCTATGTATTGCCACGTGGCTGTGGCTTAACTGGTCCGCTGGCATCTTGTCTCTTGCGCAGCTGGCTGAGTCTCCTCAGCTCCGCCCCTCCTCATCTTAGTCCTCAGTTTGATTGTTCCGCCGAAACTCGTCCTACCTGCCTATTGGTCAAACAGCTTTTATTATTAACCAATGGGAACAATACATATTCACAGTGTACAGAAGCATCCATAGTAGCAGAGCCATCTCTCCCGTTCCCCCATCCCTCTTTCTCAGCCTCAGTTGTCCCAGCTGTTCAGAGGTTCCCTAGTTTTACCCTGTGTGAGTCACTCACAGGAGTGTGGGGCACCAGCCCGGAGCAGGGCACCCTAAAAGCCAATGTGGAACAAGACCTACTGACTTGAAGTCATTTCCCAAAGGCCACCAGATTCTCAGAGTTCCTTCCTCTCTTGTCCTGGTATCACCCATCGCCTCTGCCTCCTCTTTCCATGACAGGTGAACTCAATGAGACGGAGTGTGACAAGCAGACGTGCGAGTGTGACAAGAACTTGACTCTGTGCCTCAAGGATCAGCCATACAGGGAAAAGCACCGAGGCTACCTCAATGTCTACTGCCAGGGTCCCACACCCAATTGCAGCATCTATGACCCCTACCCAGAGGAAGTCACCTGTGGACAGGGCTTCCCAGCGACCCCTGTCTCAACCTAGCCCGACTAAGGTCTGACAGAAAAGAGGGTGGGGCGTCTGCCTGGGGTTTATCTCTGAAATGTGGGGCCAGATAGGGCCCAGGGTGTCTTGTGACTCCCTCCTAGTCCTGTAGCAAGCTCAGTACCAGAAGACTCTGGAAGGCCAAGGCTTGTCTGTGGCCTTCACTCTGTCAGCCTCACATTCAGCAGTTGGTCGGGTCTTAGCAGGAAACACATTGACATGCTGGGGTCTCTCCTGGATACGGAAGGAAACAATGTGGCCCCAGCTCAACTCCCAGAACCTGTGGCCCAGTACAGACTTGGAACTACTCAGGCAGGCAGAGGGCCAGGTTGAGGCCTGGGTTCTGGGGGCCCTAGAAGTCCCACAGGATGACGTAAGGTCGACTTGTGGCTCTCTACAGGCCCCATCCAGCCCTCAGCCAACAGGATTTGTCTAGGCCCAAAAGCCTAACCTCTGTTACCGAGTGCCTTTGGGCAGGCTCCAAGGGTACAGGGACCCCATGTACACAGCAGCTGCACGTTCAGGGACGGGCAGGAGATGGTCACACATCCACAGTTCTTCCTGCCCTTCACTCCTGCCCCGCCCAAACTCAGAGTGGCAAATTAGGGGTATCTGGAGCTCTCGCTCTGTGACTGTCTCTGGGGAAGACACCAAGGTTTAGGTTGAAAAGTGTAAGGGAAGATCACATCAGGAGACTGAGAGAAAGCCCGGGTAGAGGGGGAGTGAGGTGGTGAAGAGGGGAGTGGTGGGGAGGTGGGCCAGGCCAGTTGTTGGTCATGGAGATGGGAATAGCAACAGGAGAGATGGGGACAGGCCAGTGAAGCTGAGGGTGTGGCCGCATGGGTCTGGGGAATCTTGAAGGCTCCTGCTGGCAGGTCACCTTCTCTACTGTCCCCAGCCCTGTGTCTCTTCAGGTGTACCTCCCCCTGCCCCCTGCCTCACCTGCCGTCTCAGGGTCAGCAGTGTCTAGCCCTGCCTCATGCCTGTCTTCTGCCTTCTTCGTGCTAACTCTGAGGACCCAGGGATGCAAGCCCCAACTGGACACTCAGAACACTCACCAGGAAGCTCAGCCTGCGTGGCTCCGTGGAGAGAGAGCCAAGCAGGGTGGCAGTAGAAACCGGAAAGGATGTTTATGCAGACGGCAGTGTCTGAAACGGCAGCTTTGAGACTAAGGGGTCACTGCGTGCAAGAGGGACCCTCACGCTGGCTGTGGTGTGACACGGCGGTCACCTATGCGCACTGACCCAACTTGACCCGGCCTTGTGATCTTCATCTACCCTCTCAGGAGCTCAGCCAACAAGCCTCCTCCTCCTCCTCGCACCAGCCCCGCCTAGCCTGGGGTGGACCTGTGATGGGTGCCCGGAGAGTTTCCTGCTGAGTTTCAACCCTAGGCTTGTGGGTTCCTCCATGGACACACGCCTCCTATAGAGAAGGTTGGGGCAATGAGATTCTACTGCCGTGGGATCTAGGCCCCTGTACCTGAGCTCTTCCCCCACTCCCTACCCCCCCCACCCCAGTCTTCACAGATTACAATATCCCACCATCAGACAAATAAAACTCTCCTGTCTTGGCTGTCACTGATGACCCCTCCTTAGGGTCAGGGTGGGATACATTCCTGGGTCTCTAGCTCTGGGGAAAACAGCTTCCTTGACATTCCACAGCTGGCATGACCTCATCCTTTCCCTCGCCCCCTGCCTGTGGGGAGATGTGGCCCTGTGCAGCTAACGGCACAGGCTGAGAAGATGGGAAAGTAATGCCTGGGCCACGAGTAAGGACACAGGCACCCTCTATGCAATGATGGCAGCCAGTGCGGGCTCGGGATGCTTGCCCTTCTGTCATGGTGAGGTCCAGAGAGGGGCAGCAACTGTCCCAAAGTCTCCCAAGCCACAGTTGTGCTCTGAATCCTGAAAATGACATTCAGCCACCCACCCCACACTTTGTGCCTCCCCACTGATATGCAGCAAGGAGGGTTGGCTGAGGTCTGGACACTATCCTCTTCCCATGTTGTGTCTCTGGTTGTCCCTTCTGTGATGGAACCTGTGACCTGGAGGTCACAACTTCGTAGGACAGCCAGGGAAACAGCAGCTGTCTTAGCAAGCTAGGAAAGGGAGGGCAGAGAGGCAGGGTACGTGGGTCATTCTGGTTACTAGCTCTGAGGTCAGATGCCTCCGAGAAAGTTGGAGTAGCTTCAGGAAGCCAGGGAGCAACCCATCTACATCCCATCTCTTCTTCCACTCAGGTCCCCTCAGGAATTCCTCCGTTTCCTCCTGTTTCCTCGTGTGCCCAGTGTCCAGAGTCACAGGTGCTCACCCTACTTTGATTTCTACATCTGAGATAAACACCACGACCAACAAGCAACCTGGGAGCTCAGGGTTTATTTGGCTTGCACATCCCTTTGACAATTAGTTGATCATTGAGAGAAGTCAGGGCAGGAACTCAAGCAGGACCAGAGGCGGAAAGCAGAGAAGAAAGCTGCTCACAGCTGCCCATGGCTTGCTTGGCTCGCTTTCTTATACAGCCTACCCCTGCCTGGGCATGGCACCACCCACAGTGGGCTGGTCCCTCCCACATCAATCATTAATCCAGAAAATGTCTCATAGGTACGACCACAGGCTAATCTGATGGGGGCAATTTCTCCACGGAGGCCCCTCTTCCCAACTATAGTGTGTGTAAAGCGGACAAAAATTAACCCACCAGGTGATCCTGAGGAATGGGGGAGGAAGTTTCCAAGGGAGGTGAGGTTGACATGCATGGGCTCTGTCCCCTGCCTCAGTCTTTGAATCATTATGAGATCCTGGAAGAAGACAGACTCTGTATTGACTGTCTCCTGAGGTCCCAGGGGTGGCTCCTGTTCCCCCAAAAGCCCAGGCCTAGGAAAGGAAGAAGGCAAGTGAAAACATAACCCTCACACATAGGTGCCCTGTGGCATGCCGGTCCAGATGAAGATATTCCAAATCTGTGGCAGTCCCAGGTGTACCCCAAAAGTCATTAGGGTAGGGCTGGGGTGAGAGGATGAGCAGAAAATCCATGATGTTAGGGGGAGGGGCTCCTTGCTCCCACGGCCTGTCTCTCCTTGTGACTCCTGGTCAGTCTTTCTGAGCTGTGAGGTCATCCACACAGAGGCTTGAGGGGGATGCTGTCCTTGCTCCCTCACTGACCTGGTCCTTCTGAACTCTGAAGATCATTCCCCTCTCCCCTAGTCTCGGCTTTGGGAACCTTTGTTTATTTGGTGATGGTTTTCTAGAACTTGGGTGACACCTGGTGGACACTGTGGCTCACATCCGGTTCTACTAGCCACATCTCTGGCTTCTCTGTGATGGAACCACAGTGGAGTCCCTACCCCATAGACAGATCTCACCCCTGGCACCTAGAGCAAAAGGGCACATCTCCTCAACCACCTTATCATGGCCACCAATGCTACCTCTCACAGATGCCCGACCTTCAGGAAAAGACTGTGGACCAGGTGCTACCAGCTCAGCCACTGGCTGGCCACATGGCCCTGAGCAAACTACATCACCTCTCTGCAATCCGTGGCTGCTGAGTGCTCAGCAGGGGTCTGACGTGGAGGGTGACTGAGGCCAAGAGCATGCATGCCCTAGTACAGTCTGACATGCAGGACAGAAAGTGTCAGAGCTGGTGATGGGTGCTCTGGCTACGGTGTTGACCACAAGGTCCCCAAGTCAGCAAGGCAGTCCTGTGTCCCAGAACTATGCAGGGGGGGTGAGGGGTGGAGGGAGCTGGAGGTAGGGAGGAGAGGCAGCCACAGGTCTCTTTCACATGCCATGCCTGGCCCTGGGCTGGGACGTGGCCAGTTACTCAACCCAGCCTTGACTGTGAATGCAGCCCGTCCTCTCCAGGGGTTGGCAGAGTATGCCAGTTACCACCTCCCCAGTTGTGGAGTCCTGGCAAGCAGCTGATGCCACCAACTGTGGTGATATATTAGTTATGATTTATTAATGCTTGCCTGAGGATTCAGAAAGCAAAGTCAGCCACGAGCCTTAGAAACAAGGCACACACCTTTAATCCCTGCAGCCAGAAGCTAGGAGGTAGTGGTACACATCTTTAATCTTAGGACTCAGGATTAAGAGATAGACGGATCTCCTTGAGTTCAAGGTCAAACAGAATGAGTCAGTCTAAAAGAGAATTATAGCTCACACCTTTAATCCCAACATTAGGGAAGTATATAAGACCAAAGCTAGGTTCCAGGCATTCATTCTCCAGCCACGCTGAGGAGAGGCAGAAGTCGGAGACTTAAGAGCTTATGTGTAGATCAGCCCATTCAGTCTGAGTTAGATGTAAGAAGCTAGTGGCCGACTGCTTTGCTTCTCTGACATTAGCTTGAAGTTTGAACCTCAATATCAGTCTCTGGGTCATCTATTAATTTGTGTTACAGGTTCCAAATCCAGATAACTGATAAAGAAGTAAACATCATTGCAGGCAATTTCTTAGTTGAGGCTCCCTCTTCCAAACTGCAGTATGTGTAGACTTCAAGCCAGAAGCTGAGGCTTGCCGTCCAGTAGACACAATCTTTCACTGTCACCAGGGTCATGGGGGTGAATAATGGATTCCTAGGATCTCTCCGATGATCAGTAAGACCATGCATGAAAATCACGCAGCAAGTGCTCTTAACTTCCACACCATCTCTCAGCCTCTCCACATGCCCTCTTCCCCGCACCCAATTTTACGTACACATGCTAGCAAGGGGGACAGGATGGCTGCTCTTAAATAGAGAGTGGGGGGCAAAGACTAGAAACAAGGATGGCTAAGGTGCTCCGGCTGAGGGAGAAAGCATTGGAGGGGAGGGGGCTGGTAGCGTAGACAGACAGCATGCCCACAAGTCACTGTGTGAGAAGATGCAAAGGGACAGTCAGCTCTGCACAAAGCAGGAGGCAGAGTCTAGATTCTTCCTCTTGTATTTTATTTGCATGTAATCAATTCACCGAAGTATTTTATAAATACAGAATCAAGGAGTGCTGGCAAGGCCATGCCAGCAGCTTGAAGGTGGGATGTGGGGGTTGAGAAGATTCTGACACCTGCACAGTCCTCACTCTGTCTACCTGGGGGAGGGGCTCCACACACACTTGGCCGTCTTCTCCTTCAGTCCACGCCTGCCCCTGCATTCTTCGAAGGAGCCTTCTTCTCAGCGGACTCTGCTCCCCGAGCAGACACTAATCTGAGCACCTTCCAAGCTACTTGGTCCTCCTGTCCTTCCTCCCCAGGCTCACAGCTCCATGGAGTAGAATTTCTACTTCTCTACCTTCTTCACAGGCCTGGCGTAAAGTCAGTCCCCAAGGCAGATGAATGACTGTTCTTCCGAGAGAGCGGTTATTTCTTGCAAGCTTTTCTAACATCCTTTTACAGCCCCAACACCTCCTGCCTTGATTCTGGGCACAACACTAACTGGGACACACGCAGCATCCATAACTTATCCCATCCACTTCCAGACCAGAAGCTGGACCCAGAGGGGAAGAGAGCTGGGTCTCACGTAGCAACCTGGTCATGGAGGCATGATGGACATCACCCTGGCCCTTCCACGTTAGCTGTTACCCAGACATCTTTCCAGGTTAGAACCAGTCTCTGATAGGACAGGACCTTCCAGAAGGTGGCATGCTGCTGGCTTAGCCTAGCCACACTGGTGTCATGCCCGAGCCCATTCCTGATGCTCCTAGGCCAAAGACTCCTGCTCCCTGCCCAACACACGTCTACTTTCTGTACATGGGCAGGCTGGGTGAAGAAAGATGACTATGCAGGTTGAACCAGGTAGAGCTCAGGAATCCTGGTTCCCAGGTCTTCCCCTGAGCCTTCTGTCTTCATGAGTTCTGCTTTCTCAAGCCAGGTTTTAACCTCTGGCACTGGTAGAAACTGCTACAACTCTCAGCATTCTCCCTGGAATTCAAAATCCTCAGACTTGAGTCTGAGTGTTTCTTTAAGTCCCTAGGGCTCACCACTGTACATGGCACACAGTATAGGCTCAATACACATGTTGGTTGACCTACTAAGTGAAAGCAGTCCCCAATGCTCTCTATCACCACACAAATCTTATCATCTCCCCGAAAACCCTCTGGGGGAGGGGATAGAGACATAGCGACCACATTTCCATGGCCTCCAAGTCTGGGCCAAGTGCTGAGAACCAGGTAGTATTGATGAATAAAGACCAGCATAGTCAGCTAGGCGGAGCTGTGTAACTAGCCAGCCCGCAGCATCATAACAATATAGATTCCTGTACAAGGCTCACAGTTCTGCAAATTACAGTTCAGTCTGGGCTCAGCCCCTCAATGCTCTTGAAGCCTCTGTTGAGTCCAGTGATCTGGGGTTGCTGGTTCTGACCCGGCAAGTTCTCATCATCCAGGAGGTTGAGCCCAGGCTTCCTCCTGGTGTGTGTCTTTACAGTAGACCTGCCCTGGACCTCAGAGGCCGAAGCCTGAACTTAAGACCTTCGCTTTGGCTATATTACCAAGCAGAGTCCCAGATTCAGGGGATGAAAAGGAGACTCTGCCCTTGACAGATGTGCTGAATGCTAGGGCAGGAAAGGCAAGTGCCACCAAGGAGGGAGGCAAGCATGGCTACAGCTGTGTCTGAGAGTCACTCTTCCAGTCTAGCACCATGAAACTGATCACCCAATTAGATATTGCTGACGAGATTTAAGTCTTTTAAGACCAGAGGCTTCTAAATGGGGGTGGGGATTTAGGACGCCTTGGATCCACTGTCCCACACCATCTCTCTATTTCTTCGTGTCATCTTCACCATGACATCCTTGTGACCGTGGTGAGCACCATCACTGTCTTTCTGAGACAGCTGTCTTTCTGAGACAGCAGACCGTCCTGTTTCCTGCCAGCAGGCTTACAGATGGCGGACCTGGAGCAAACACCGACAAGACCCCAGGTGAGGCTCTTGGGGCTGTATTTTCTAAGATACCTGTTTGCTCCCAGGCAGCTCTGGGTAGAGGACCTGGTTCTCCAGTCAGACATGTGTCCTGACTGGGGTTGGAGATGTAGGAGAATTTATGTTAGATCTTGGTCGCCCTTTCTTCCTGGGAAAAGGGTTTGGGTCTCAGGTAACCAGGCTAGTCTTGAGCTTATCATGTCATGGAGGGTGTCCCTGAATTCCTGCCTCTCCTGCCTCCACCTCCCAAATGCTAGGATTAAAGGGTGCCTCCATCCTAGTCTCATTCTCTTGATTCCTAACACTTACCTCGGCTGGAATGTGTCACTTAATTGCCAGACACGGGTGCACTGTTTCTAGAGCAGGAATTCTCCGTCTCTCACTTCCAGTCCCCCGTGCTGAGGGAGAAGACACTCCCTAGACAGCAATGCCGAGCTGCAGGAGCCTGGGGGTGTCAGACATGGTCTGAGACAGCGTTCCAGAAGGGCCACCGCCGTCACAGCAGGTGCCGCGTGACAGAGGGACGGTGACTTCGCTAGCACCGGAGTTTGCGTCTGCCACACTGGGGCCTGTTGAGGAAGACCTGCTTGAAGCCTTTCTCGTAGGTGTTCAGGTTCTCCTTGAAGCAGTACACAGACTGCTTGTCACACTCACAGGCCTTCTGCCCGCAGAGGCAGCTGCCACCCAGGGGACATCCACCTGAGGAAACACACAGAGTCACTGGGGGCTCAATGCCCACTTTAAAACTGGGTTCTAGGGTAGGAAAAGGCTGGGGGTATAGAGGGAGCTACAGGGGTCAAGGGCAGAGGGCAAGAAATAGGAATGCTTTTTCTTCGTTCACGGCCCTTCCCCAGTCACTCATATCACAATGAACAGCCGCCTAGGAGGAGGTGAACGGATCGGAGAGGATGGGCTGCATGTTGGGAGGGCGGTGTTGAGTCATTGCACCCAGGCAGCACATGGGCCAAGGCAGCAGGCCGGACTCATCCCCCCAGGGTCCATCTCCTATTCCAGACACCAGCTTGACATCCCAGGTGCTGTCTGAAGCATCTCCAGCTGCATATTTTCAAAGCTATCCTGCACATATATGTGCTACGACCACTGAGCCTGTCACCTCTCCACCCTTAGGAATGGCACCACCTGACCCCAGCAGCTCTCTAGGAACTCTTCCCTCCTTTCACTTCCTGTTTCCCATCTGCTGGTAAGTCCCACGGATGTCCCCGTGTTTAACCCCTTCATGCTCCGCCCTCTTTTGTCCACCAGCCACGCTCCTGTCCCTCTCCACATTCTGTCACTGCCAGCTCTTCCTGCTTAATGGGAGGAAACAAGCAGGCAGTCTCGAAATGTCACCTGGATCACACCCACTCTCCTGTTTAAAGCCACGCTCTGGTTTCCCAGCCTCTGTGGAAGAGGTGATCATCCTTTTGTGGCAGTCCCCAGCCCACCTGCCACACCTTGACTGTCCCAGCCTCCCCCTTCCTCATGGAACTGCCACCCTCCAACCCCCCGTCTGCTCCAGACACAGGGGCCTCTCTTCTCCCTTGTCCCAGGACATTTGCACATGCTATTCTCCTGGTCTCATCCCTTCCATTTGGGTCTTAATGGAATCCAAGTTCTTCAGACAGGCTTACCCAAGCCACCTGGTCTAAGGCTCTCCCCGGTCACTCCCTCCCAGGTCCCCTTGCTGGTTTCATATACATACTGGCTTGCTATGCCCTCCTCTGCCCTGCAGAGTGAGACTCCACGAGCTGGGACTCTGGTTATCACAGACTCCCCCTTGCAGAGCAGAGGCCAGTCTATGGGAGCTCCTCAGGGTACTGCTGCCGAAAAGGCAAAGAAGCCCGGAGGACTTTGGGATGTGGTGTCTGCACTAGAGCTGAAGGGCAGGTGGACCGGGGCCTTTTGTTGAGGAGTCACAGCCCTGATGCTCTGTGTGTGTGTGTGTGTGTGTGTGTGTGTGTGTGTGTGTGTGTGTGTGCTCGTACATGTGCATGCGTGACAACACGCTGGGGTCCTCGAAGGCACGATGCCTCATTTCTACAGAACTGCACCCAGATCTGCTTTCTGCCTGAGGAAGGAGGCTGCCATGCCAGACCCTGGGACTTGTCTTCTGCAGCTTGTTAATCTGGATGTCTCCCTGGATAAAATGATGCTGACCGTGGTCAAAGACGAGCAGCAGACTAAGGCCCCTGCTAAGATGCTGGTCACAGGTGAATTATGTGCTGTGGACCCGCTGCTCTGGCAGGGGCACCCTTGGTGCCACATATACAATGAAGCAAATGCCTGTCTGCTGGACCAGTGCAGGCTGTTTCTCTCCGGTGCCCACGTTCCCACTGGAGCTGCCCACCCGTGCCTGTCTGGAGACTTGACTATCTCAGGGCAGACACTGCCACCCCACGCCTCAGCTGCCCTTGAGCACACACCCCCAGGAAGGGGCCAAGGACACTCACGCCACTCCCACTCTTCCTCACGCCTGCTCCCTTTGGCCCTCTCACGCTCCCGTCTCCATCTGTGAAGGTCTGCCCAGATCCACCAAGTCCCAGCCCCCTCGGGGTTCTTCCACAACTCGGCTCCATGCATGTGCCTCTTCCTCCCTGTCCACAGCAAGTCTCCGTCTCTATAACAGCAGCTGCTGCCAGGGCCACAGGGGGTGTCGGCTGCCTGAACACAGGCCCTGCCCTAGTGGACGGCTGTCCTCTGGGGACCTGGTGCTGCCACCCAGGACATCTGAGCCCTGTTATCCCCTGCCCTCCTCGACCTTCCTTCCTGTCCCTCCTTCTCCCTTCTCTTGTTTATGTCTTGCTCTTACTTTTTCCTCACTACTCAACTTTCTAGACTCTTCCTTCTTCTCTGGCTCCATATATGAGTGTTTTTGTCTGCATGTACGTATGCATGCCTGATGCCCACAGTGGTCAGAAGAGGACATGAGATCTCTTGGAACTAGTTACCGATGGTTGTGGCTGCCTCATGATCTCAGGGGAACTGACTTCAGGTCCTCGGCCAAAGCAGCAAGTGTTCTTAACCACTGAGCCATCACCCCAGCTACTTTTATATTTTCTTTCTTGAGACACAGTCTTACATAGCCCAGGTTTGCCCGAAATCACTCCCAATGTCACTCAAAGATGACACTCAACTCCTAATCCTCCCGGGTCCATCTTCCAAGGGCTGAGATGATGTTCATGGGCTACTATGTTGTTTTATGAGTGATGGGATTGAACCAAGGCTTCATGCATGCTAGGCAAACCCTATACCCAATGAGCTACACCTCCAGTTCTCCCTGACTCCTTTCTACTGTGTGATTAAATCCTCTCCCTGAAGTGTAAATCCATCTCTCACAGCTCCCAGGCCCTATGTATGCATCTTCAGGACTGGTCTTGGACAGTGGTTTTCTGCCAAGGATGGTCATTTGGGCAGCATCCCTAAGTTATGGTAAGATTGTGTTTGCCATGACCTGGGAGAAAATGCAACCCTCAGCCAAAAAAATGCCATCTTTAAAAGTAACCATCTCAAAACACTGGGCTCCAGACCCTGCATCTTCCAAAAGTAAATAGAGAAACTGAGGCACAAGGAAAGGAAATGACAGCTTCAGAAACCTCTTTCTCATCATGAGAACTCCATCTGCACAGAGACAAAGTGACAGACAGACTCCTGCCTGTGGCTAACCCAAGGCCTCACACGGCCTCTGTCTGGCCTCCAGCTCTTTTCTAGATTGTCTTCATAGAGTTTTTGCTCAGTGTCAGGACCCAAAATCCTCCTGGGTTCACAGCTCCTGCCCAGTCCTCTTCCTTGAGCTCCAGACAGCAACACAAGTATATGTTTGCTGCTATATATCATGTATTAGTCCATTTTCTGTTGAGATACAGAGTTGTGTAATTTGCAAATAAAGTGACTTATTTGGCTCACAATTTGGGGAGCTGCAAGTCCAGACAGCATGGTGTTGGCTCTTCCAGGGATCCCTTAGGCACAGTACAGCACGATACACAACAACGTGGTAAGTGTGCATGCAAGAGGGAGGGGTCACATGGGACAACAGGAAGCCAGGGAGACTGGGGAAGGGCCAGCCTTGCTTGCTGTTATAGAACAAGTTCCTCTACTTGGAATTAATCAATGTCCCAGGAAAACTACAATAATCTCTTCTGAGGTACTACCTGCAGTGTTCTAACAATATCCAGATCCACAATGTCTGTGTGTTTGTGTATGTGTGTGTGTGTGTGTGTGTGTGTGTGTTTGTGCATACTGATTCACTGATATGTGTGTGCATGCATGCGGATTAGTATCTGGACTAATACTGGTCATATTCTTTGATTCCTCTCCACCTTATTTTTTAAATTTACTGTTTGTGCATATGTGTATGTGGTGTGCATACATGCATGTGTTCATATGGGTACATTACGGGCATGCGTGTAGAGGCTCAAGATTGAAGGTAGGAGTCTTCTCAGTCATCTTCCACCTTATTCGTGCAGGCAGGGTCTCTCAGTGCTCACCACTAGACCCAGTCCTCACCAATCATAGTGGTTTGGAAGAAAATGGCTCCTAAATGAACTGGCACTGTTAGGAAGTGTGGCATTGTTGGAGTAGGTGTGGCCTTGTTGGAGGAAGTATGTTACTGTGGAGGCAGGCTTTGAGGTCTCATACATGCTAAAGTCACACCCAGTTAAGTGAGACCACTTTCTATTGCCTGAAAGTCAAGATGTAGAACATTCTGCTACTTCTCCAGCACCACATCTGCCTGCACGCCACCATGTTCCGCCATGATGATAACGGACTGAACCTCTGAAAATGTGAGCCACCCCAATTAAATGTTTCTCCTTTCTAAGAGTTGCCATGGCCATGGTGTCTCTTCACAGCAATAGAACCCCTAATATACCAATATAGACTAGCTTTGTTAGTCAGCTTGCTCTGTGGATCTGTGCCTTTCAAGTTTTAGAGTCACAGGAAGGCTGCCGTGCCCACCTAGCATTTATGTGAGTTCTTAGGATCCAAAATTGGACCCACACATTTGCATGATGGGATCTTTTTTTTTTGGTTTTTATGAGACAGGGTTTCTCTGTATTGTTTCAGAGCCTATCGGTCCAGCCCGGCCTCGAACTCACAGAGATCCGCCTGCCTCTGCCTCCCGAGTGCTGGGATTAAAGGCGTGCGCCACCACCGCCCGGCACATGATGGGATCTTTTAACTATTGAGTCATCTTCCCAACCCACCACCTTATTTTTGAGACAGGATCTTCCACTGAACCTAGAGCTGCCCAATTAACTGGAATGCTAACCACTGAGCTCCAGAAGTCCACTTGTCTCCACTCCCTTGTGCCCCAGGCTGGGTTACAGATGTATACTGTCATGCCCCAGATTCCACGCGGGCTGGAGACTGGAACTCAGCTCTGTAGAGCAGGGCATTTACCAGGTGAGGCATCTCCCCAGTCCAGGTCTCCCACTTCTTACATTATTACCTAGGTAAGCCATTCTCCCCACACACAAACCCTTTGGGAACACATTTAAAACATTCCCAAACTACAGCACATCTTACACCCCATGCAATTCATACAATGCGCTGCGGTATCTCCATGGTCCACTCTGCTTCCATTTCCACAAGCTCAGTGGTTGATGCCATGATCGATGGCTGCTGAGGCCAGGCATTGCCATTCAGTCTCTGTCTCCTTCAACCCATATCTAATCCATCTGTAGGTCCTGGCACCTCAACAT